TGCTTCTTTACTTCAGATGCTATGAGTTCTGGGAGTTCTTTTTTATTTCAGAAAATAATTGCACCCTGATTACCTCTATATCTTTCTGCTGTTGCTTATTTACTATCAATATTATTATTTCATGCATTTGAGCTGAGCTAGTATCCTCCCCACTTGTTCTACGTGGGCACTGGGTTTCTACCATACGTTTCTGCATTTGATTCTTTCCTGCAGATGCTATTAATTCAGGGATTTCTGTTTTCATTTCCAATCTGAGTTCCTGTATACGTTTCTGCAGAAGTTTCTTTACTTTAGAAGCCATTGATTCATTACTTTCAGCTGTGTGATTCCCAATTTGTTCTGTGTTAGTGTCCTCTGCAGTTGTTATGGGTGGGCTTGGGCTCTGAGGTTGCATTTTGTTCCTTCTCGTCATTTTGTGTAGCACTTTGTTTAGATCTTTGTTGTAGTTATAACCCTAGCACGTACTGAAGTTCAGTTGCAGATCTACAAAGTTTGGATTTATCCAGCTTTGCCTGGCTTGTGTCTGGCTGCTGTGCTCAGCTCCTCCCTGCTGCTGCCCTTAAGGGTGAATCTGTTGTGCTCCTTTGGCAAGATGTTCTGCTCCTGGACTAGCTGGATATTTCTATCCTCTACACTCTTTTCAGGGATTGCAGCTGCAGTGTTACACCACTGGCCTGTATGCCAGGCCTGAGCTGAGCCTGGAGGGGACAAGGTGGTGTAGGGGACAGAGGCCGCTCTCCCGCACACTCACTGGGCCTGGGCTAGGACTGGGTCTGGGTGTTCCTGGAATGTGGCAGTTATTACTACTCAGTGGGTGCCATGGGTGAGGCGCTGCAGAGTGGTGTGTGGTGTCCCAAGGGGATTGAAGAGGGTCTTACCCACGCTGTGCTTGGCCTGGGATCAGTAGTCTGTCCCACTGGTGCAGGGAAGCAGGAAGCTGTCCCACACACTCACCGGACCTGTTCTAGGACTGGGTCTGGTGGTTCCTGGAACGTGGCAGAAGTTCGTGCTCGGTGGCGGGGTGGGAGAGGTGCTGCAGAGTGGTGGGGGGTGTCCCACCTGGGTGGAAGTGGGTCTCACACATGCTACGCCTGGGCTGGGACTAGTAGTCTGTCCTGATGCCAGGGTAGCTGGATGCTCTCCCACACACTCACCAGACCTGGGCTAGGACTGGGTCTGGCGGTTCCCGGAATGCGGCAGAAACTCCTACTGGGCGGGCACGGTAGGGTAGGTGCTGCAGGAGTCGTGTGGGGCGTCCCAAGCGGGAGGAAGAGGGTCTCACCCACTCTGTGCCTGGGCTGGGAGTAGTAGTTGGTCCGCAGGTGCAGGGTATCCAGAAGCTCTCCCACACATTCACTGCACCTGGGCTAGGACTGGGTCTGGGGGTTCCCGGAACGTGGCAGAAATTCCTACTTGGGGGGTGGGGTGGGCGAGGTGCTGCGGAGTGTTATGGTGTGTCCCAAAGTGGTGGAAGAGGGTCTCACCCACGCTGTGCCTGGACTGGGACGAGTAGTCCGTCTCGCCGGCGCAGGGTAGCCAGAACCTCTCCCACACACTCACCGGACCTGGGCTAGGACTCTGCATTTAATTCTTTACTTTGGACGTTATTTGTTCAGAGATTTCTTTTTTTATTTCAGAGGTTATTTCAGATCTGAGTTCCTCTTTACATATCTACAGTTGTTTCTTTACTTCAGATGTGTTGATTCAGACATTTTAGCTGTGTGATTCCCAATTTCTTCTGTGCTATTGTCTTCTGTACTTTTTCTTGGTGGCCTTGGGGCCTAAGATTGCCTTTTTCTCCTCTTTGTCATTTTGTATAGCAGTGTCCTGTGGCCTTTGGTGTAGAGCTTTGGTTTAGTTATAGCCTTAGCACTTACTGAAATTTGGGTGCAGATATATGAAGTTTGAATTCATCTAGTTGTGCCTGGCTTGGATCTGGCTGCTATGCTCAGCTTCTTTCTTCTTCAGCCCTTGAGCATGATCCTGTTGTGCCCCTTTGGTAAGATATTCTGCTCCTGGATTAGTGGTGGTTCTGGTCCCTAGCCTCTCTGCATGGACTTCAGCTACAGTTTCACCCCAGGACTGTATGCCAGGCCTGGGCTGGGTCCTAAGTGGTCCAGAGAATGAAGTCAAAGTTCTCACTCACAATCAGGGTTTGGGCTGGGTCCAGAGGGTTCCATCAGGTGCAGGAGAGTATGGAAACTCTCCCACACACTTGTGCTGCTTGGGTTTACACTGCATCTGGGATTGTCCATGGAGCATCGCAGAAGTTCTCACTCAAGATGATGGATGGGTCTTTAGGGGTTGTGGTGTCTCGAGAATGAGGTGGAAGTTCTCTGAGAAGTGGTTTTGATAGCCCCTTGGCCAGAGAAAGCCTGAATCTGATTCACCAGGCACGCCCTGATCCCTCATATCCACATGGTACAAAAGCATGCTAGAACCCCAGGTTTATTGTGGAGACACCCCTATATGTCTCCTGAAGCTGTAAAGACAGGATGCTCATATCACAGTGGCACTCAAGGGAAGAGTTGTTCACATTCATATCTGGTCTTATCTTTCATTTTAGCCTGAGCTCTGACTACTGTAGTTCCTTCAGGAAGATCAGATTTGAACTCTATAACTCCAGTCAAGCCTCACAAACATGTACTTCCTCTATAAGCCTGATATTTGCTCTCACAATACTTTCCTAGCCTTAAATCATTAATTGCAATAATGCTACACATCCAATGTCCAGAAACTTCCCTTTTTCCATCAATGGAAGTTGAAATCTTCAAATCTATGAATATTCTCCTCCAAACCATTTTTACTTCATCCATTTCATAGACATTCCAGAAGCTTGTGGAAGTGGGTATATTGCTCCCAAAGGTAGGTGGAAGAACAAAACTCACAAATTCATCTAAAAATTCCGACCTAAAGTTGGGACCTCAAACTACCCGTGCCCTTTGAACTCTTTTTCCTTCTGCCACCACCTGCCCTCCCAGCCATTGTCCACCTCATCCTACCTTCTCGGAGGACTTCAGAAAATCCTTGGAGTCTATTGCAAAATGTCCCCCAGCAAAGGTGGACTCCAGGGTTCAGGTGGAAGGCTGCCCTTGGAAATGGGGAAACTGCAGACACAGAGCAACAAGAGGCTAATCATGATGAAAAAGAGGGTGAAGTTAGATATCACTTAGGTCCTCTGCCTGCTGTCTGCTCTTTGGTGTTCTTTGGAAGGCATACAGCCATGCTTATTGTTTTCTTCCTATGATTGATGGCTATCTGTGTGCCAGGAATTTATCTTGGCAGAAACGTTAGAACAACTCCAGAGCATACAGAGAGCCTATAACTTATAGGCCTTCTAGAAGCTCAGTGTTCACCACGTTAAGGGTGAGTTCCAAATCCAGCCAATTCTTCACTACCTGCTGACTCAGAATGCTTTCGAGGGAAAAATTCCTAAATGCAAAGCACTTCCCTTTGAAAAGTGTGTTAGTGCCAGTGGGAGTTGTGGAGGCTGGTTCCACAGTGTGGATGCAAGTAGGCTGATATTCATGAGGAAAACTCTGAGAGCACTAGAGGTGGAGGATAACTTAAAGTCAGATTTGGCACTGCTGGGCCCTTTGGGAATAGGAACATTTTTTCTTATATCAAAAGGAAGTGAGATACAGAGATAGTGACATGGTCTGACAGCAGAAGTCTGGCTCCCTTGGAAGGAAGATGTTAAGGGGTAACTGATTTAGTCAATAGTTCATCTATGCATTCTTTCCTAAGCATCTGCTTTCAACAACTATCACATGCCACAACTTGATCCAGGTGCTCAGAATGGAAGAGCGAAGAACACAACAGGTTGACCCTACGTGGTGTTGGCATGGAAGTGTGGGAGAGACTCTCCCAAAGAGTGAGCTGAATAGGTCCTAGGAACTGAACAATACACAGATAACACACAAAAATGATAGACATCACTTTATGATTGGGTGATTAGACATTACAGGTTTATTTGATTCTTAGACTTAAAACAAAAAGGGAGGAAATCCAGAACACAAATATAGAATCACACAGTGAAAAGGATAGAGGCAGAGGGTGAATTCTACAGAGAAAAAAGCAGGGAAAATCACCTAAGCAGGACAATGAGGGAGGCCACACACAACATATGTCTCCTCTCCTCAAAATCGTAGAATCTGAAAAATCTTGTGCAACTTTTTAAAGAAAAGAACAAGCAACAAACCACAGTTTTTATTATTCCATTTACATGAAAATATGCAAGAAGTCCAAAGGCAATTCCATTGAGACAAAAATCAGACTAGTATTCCAGGGGCTGGATAAGGAGATCAGAATTAGCTGGCTGTTTAGTAAGTGCAGGGTTGGGGTGGGGAATGAAAAATATTTCTGAAACTAGATAGTAAATTTTGTATGACCTTGTAAAAGAACTAAATATACTGAAATGGACACTTTAGGTCTATTTTATGCAACGTGAAGTCGATCTTCTTTCAATTGTGCAATAGTGAAGAGTTTGAGCTGCGGTTTGAATCCATTACTGCATTTTGGCATTGTGATCACAGGCAGCTGTTGCTACTGCCTTACCTCTGTTCTTCACTTGTAAAATGGGCCTGTACCCTGCACCCACTACCAGGTCCACAGAGAGGGGAATTTTTACATAGAACCCTTTAGTACAGAACACACATCACAAGGAGGTGACAAATGAAGACTGGCAAGGAAAAGTTACTCAGCCTGAGCTGTATCCTGGGACTCAGAACTGCACTCAGTCATACAGAAAATTTATCCCTTCTAACCCGTAACTTCTATATAGTCAGCATAAAGGGCTTGAGTTTTGTTAGTCTAGTTCTGACTTCTTCATCTCTATTCACAAGAGAAAGGAATACAACACAGAACCTTGGAAAAACTGCAGCATTGTGGACAGAAACCCACAAAGATAATTTTGCATGGAATTGTATCCAGGAAAGGAAGAGTGATGGTTCACAATAGATTTTTTCTGATGTACGAAGTGAGGGGCCATTCTCTAGAGTTCAGGCACTTTATGAACCTGCAATCCTTAATTCCTTTGCCCTGAGTCCATCATGTGAGGAAGGAAGGAAATCTTGTATGCTGGGGGTACTCTGCCAATACCAAATTCCTGGGGTGTGAAGTCAATATCCTCAGGAGCCACTGGGCTGGTGATGGAGAAGTTCTGGAGGATGGTGGTGAAGAAGAGGAACAATTCAGCATGGGCAATACCTTCTCCAAGACAAAGGCGCTTCCCTGTGGGCACAGAGAATCACAGTAAGGGTCAGGGTAATGTTCTCTGCCCTGTCATAGCCCTAAGCTTAGACTGATGTACTCACTGCACAGGTGTGAGCTCTGAGTTGCACCCTTGCATGCACTGGGAGGAGGTTCTAAGTTTTTCTGATACTGGGTATAGATCTTTGGGTGGATATTCAGTATTCAATAGGAGTTAGAAGATACAGAAGTTTGTAGTTTTGACTCTTTTCAAATTTCTAAATGGTGCAGTAGTTCTATATGAGGTAAATACACAGTGTTCTTTATTTCTCATAAGAGAAGAGTACTATGCAGCTCATAGGGCTGTTATAAGTGTAAAGTTGTTATTCATAAGAACACAAACTAATGCTTCGTTCATATTAAGCATCTACAGTGTGGAATCAGTTTTGTGTTTTTTTCTGATTGGTAATGTGTTTCTGAGACTATGCGCCTTTATGTGTCTGTCTGTCTGTCTGTTTGTATATATCCCTATCTATTTCTCTGCCAATCTCTCTCTCTCTCTCTCTCTCTCTCTCTCTCTCTCTCTCTCTCTCTCCCTTGCCTCATTTTCCTGCAACCCCACTGTTCTCAACTCTCACTGAGAATGAAGTCATGGATGAGGCCATTGCACAGGTTCACTAAAGTCACTGACGAAACTCAAAATAAAATTCTAGAAAAAAGTCATTTTGCTGGGGAACTATTTCATATAAACAATAAGAAAAATGGACATTTGATTTACCAGATGTTCATTTGAGACAATCTCATTGTTTAGGGCTCCGCAAGGGTAGGAGTGAAGATGGACTGAGATAGTTGGGTTAAAGCAAGTGGGCTAAAATAAAGTGTCCAGGAAACAAAAGCAAGCAATCCTTTGTGTTGCAGAGAGCAGGGGAGTCATCCTCCACAATGAGGGATAGGGTAAATGGGTCAACTTACCCATAGAGAAGGGAATAAAAGCTGGACTCTTCTTCAGTGACCCCTTTGCATCCAGAAAGTGATCTGGGTTAAAGGTATCTGGTTTTTCAAAGTGACATGAATCATGGAGAGCAGTAGTCAGGACTGTGTAAACTTCTGTGTTCTGAGGAAACATGAAAAGATCAAAAGAGATTTCTATGGTCTGGCTTCCAATGAAAAGACATAAATAAATGGATAAAACAAATTAAAACAGAAAAAAGCTTTCCCCATTGAGAAAAAGACAAGAGGTCCAAATATGGGTTAAGATACCAAAGAATAAGCACAGAGACCAGAATTCAATCCGCAGCATCACATGCCCAGCCAGCCAGCCCCCCAGGGCACACTGAGAAGGTGACTAAGACTGTGTGGTAGCATGCACCTGTAATCACAGTGCTTGGGAGGCTGAAAACAGGAGGATCATTATGAATCTGATCTGTGTAATAAAACCCTACAGACATTGTACTAAATACATTTTAAGGAAGAATCCAAAAAGATTCACACAAAGATGTGGGATCCCATCTTGTCTTACCTTGGGCAGGACGAACCCTCGGAAGGCAGTGTCTTTTGTGACCATGTGGGGCACACCAATAGGGAGGAGGTCCGCAAATCTCTGAATCTCACAAATGACTGCCTCAGTGTATGGCATTTTAGTTCTGTCCTCCAAGGCTGGCTGGCGATGTGAACCAATCACCTGTTCAATTTCCTTTTGGACTCTCTCTGCACAGAATAAGGGACAATGAAGCCCACCTCACAAAGCCCACCTCATCACACCAAGGACATATTTGTCTTTGGACCATTTAAGTAGAAAAAACCTTCAGAAAAGGGTAGTACCAATGATACTCTCAAAACAATCAGCTGTGGGTGAGAGAAAGAGGGAGAAATTAACAAGAATTCACACCCTTCATAATCTAATTGAATCCAACCAGCAAACATGCCCAGCTTGTGAGTGTGGCTGGCTGGGCCCTTCCTGATCTTCCCTCCAACCAGCTGCTAGGCCTGGTGTGTGAGTGGGACCACACGGAGCCCACCGTATCATCACTCCATCTAGCTCCCAGGCCTGGCGTGTGTGTCAAACTTCCTCCATCATGTAGGCCCAGTGTAGAACCCTGTGGCAGAACTCCCTACAGGGTAGCTAGAGGCAAGACCCATCCAGCTGTTCCAGGATCAGAGCATCTTGCCAGAGAGGCACAGCAGGTTCACTTCCAAGGTCTCCAACATGAAGAAATTGAGTACAGCAGCTAGACCCAAGCAACACGAACCTCGATGAGTTTGAACTTGGTACCTCGGGACCTGGTGCGAAGATAATAACTATCAAAGCTCTACAGCAAAGGTCAGAAGACAGTACTATGACAAAGGGAAACAGTCAAATGCATTCTTATGCCCTGAGCCCACCTAGAACAAATGCAGGACAAAATAGCATAGAAGAAATTGGAAATCATACACCTGAAATCTCTGAATTAATAGCGTCTGAAATAAAGAAACAACTGCAGAAAGATATAGAGGAACACAGATCAGAAATCTTTTCTGAAGTAGAATAAAACTAACTATGATGAAAGAAGCAATAAGTGCTTCTAAAGAAGACACTGATAAAAATAGAGGAGAATAGAAAAATGATGGATTCCTTCAATGAGCAATATAGGAAAGAAACAGAATGCATTAAGCAGATTCAAATTGCTATACAGGAAATTGAAACTTCAATCACAAACTGACAATCCCCTTTGGTTGAAAGTGAAAGTGGACTTTCACACCTGGAACACACAATTGCAGCTAGTGAAAAGGTAGGAAAATATCTCTTAAAAACAACTAGAATGCCAGAAAAAAAAGTACAATATCTGCAATGTGATGCAAAGATGAACAAAGTCCCCTCCCAGGCTTAGTGTCGGTGAGACCCTCATCCACCCCTTGGGACGTCTCCAACCTCTCCGCAGCACCTCCCTTACCCCATACCCACAAGTAGAAATTTCTGCCACTTAACAGGAATCTGCAGATCCTGTCCTAGCCCAGGCCCGGTGACTGTCTGGGAGAGTTTCTGGCTACCCTGTGCTGGCAGGACCTACTATGGGTAGGAGGCAAAGCTCAGCGGGGGTGAGACCCTATTCCACCCCCGTGGAATGCCCTCCATCAATCCGTAATACCCACAAACACCCTGCACACAAGTTAGGAATTTCTGCTGCGTTCCTGGAACCCCCAGATCCAGTCGTAGCCCAGGCCCAATGAGTGTGTGGGAGAGCTGCCTCTGCCCCCTTCTCCACCTTGTGCCTCCAGGCTCACCTCAGGCCTGGCATACAGAACTGTGGTGAAACCCTGCAGCTGAAATCTCTGCAGAGAGTGTAGAGAATAGAACCACGAAGATAGTCCAGGAGTAGAAAATATTCCAGAGGGACACAGCACGTTTATCACCAAGGGAAAACAGCAGGAAGGAGTTGAGCACAGCAGCCAGGCCCAACCAGGCACTGCGGGATAATACCAAATGTTGTAGATTTGCACCTGGACCTCAGTACCTGCTAAGGTTATAACTGCAACAAAGATCTACAAAAAAG